TCAGGGAAAAAAAAAAAAAAAAAAAAAAAGGAAGTAACTAATCACCTTGTTTTATTTATTAATGCTAATTGGAGACTTTTTTTGTAATCTATTTGACTTGCAAAATTTTAAATTCCCCCCCATTTTTTTTAAAACTTTTTCTCCCTCTAACAGTAAGTACGCTTCTTCTTCAATTTTTGAAACAATAAATAATGCCCATCTTTGAATGTTTGTTGCTGTATAATTTTAATGAATAGCCGGTTATTTATTGATCTATTACTAATAGGCTTTCTTCTTTGCCAATGTTCGTATCCCCTCAGATTGATCATAACAGATGTACTAGGTGGAGATATTCAGTTTGACTTTTATCACAGATGGTTTGATGCGATCTTCGTGGCCAGCGCGTTTCTTTCTTTACTTTTGTTATCTGCACATTATACATCACGGCAAGCTGACAAACACCCAATAGATTAACCCAAATAAGGTATGTACATGAAAGTTCCTTGTTTAATTATTTTGCCACTTTCATGCATCAATTTTAATTGATTGATGAACAGATAGGCTTAAGGAATTTTCTTTAAAATATAATGTAGTTCTGATGGCTCCACTTCTAGGATCACTTATTATATTATACCTCTAGCTATGTGACTCAGCAGCTCAACCACGCCTAGCATGATTCATGAACGCAAATGCAAAAATCATTATTGCTTAAAAGAGTAATCTAATTTGTACTTACTATCCAGAGAATCATTGTCAATGTCTTCGTAGTATTCTATTTTGAAATCCTAATAATAAGTCAGGTCTTCTGTAAATGTTCTGTGATTAGTATGTTAATACCATAATGTCTGGTTCAATTAAGGAATGTTGTATTTTAAGCTTTTCAATGTAATAATAACTAATACTATTAGGAACCAGAACCATATAAGTACAAATCTGCCGTGTATTTAAAAAAGTTGTATTTTAACCATAACTAATACTATTCATTCTGTAATGAGCAGTGCTTTGTGTGTGCCATATGGTTGATGTCAAAGTATTAGTTACTTAAAGAACTATCATTTAAAGGATTACATCTTTCCAACCCGATGCAGGTCGAGATTACCGAGTAGCTTGGAGAACACAATTGAAGGCTATGGAACACCTCGAGATTGGACTATATCAGTTAGGCTGGTTTCTGGCCTTGTCTGGATGCATTGAGTGCAGTAATAACGAAGAACATCGGCATTGTGATCTTGGGATGGATGAATTCTTTTGTGTTCAACCTCATGTACAGAAAAATGTCTTACTGACTGACGGTATCGAACTTTTTTCATCTGTAGTAGGTCAGTATTTGATTTTATTGGTTATGTTTCTATATATCATTTTCTCAAATTATGTCAAGCAGTGAAATGATGAGTTTATTATATCTGTGCTTAGTATTTTTTGAGCTGTGATGATCTGTAATGATCTGTAATGATCTGTAATGGGATAGCTCTTTTCATAGAAAGGTCTAGCAACTCTTGGGTGTGTTCTGTTCTCCATAACTCCTTTGAGATTAAGCTCCAGATGTTCTGATGCTTCACTCTATTTCAATCTGTTATAAAGAACTTAGGAGGAAGCTAGGTATCTAGGCCATTAAGAGAAAGATTGGCATGCTCTGTTAAAACGGGATACCTTGAAGCTATTTGCATGCTTCATTTGGTGGTAGTATTTTGTATGCAAATTATTCCATGAAAGTCCTATTTTGTGCTTGGAGATTCTTTGAAGAACTTTGATGGTAATTCTATGATATGAAGTACAATTAGGTAGGTTCGTTCCATTTCTGTCCATGGAAAACCAATTTTAGAACTTTGAAAAGTGTTGTTACATTTATATAGTTTTTGATATTGGCATCGATGATACACACAAGCTAGTTGATTTGACACAGTGCGATAGAGACGATTAAACAAAATAAAGTGATGTGTTTTAAAGTGAGGTTTTTTTTGTATCTATATTACTTTGGATTAGAGTGCGATGTTGGATGCTGAAAGTCCTACATCGGCTAACTTAGGGAATGATCATGGATTTATAATTAAATAATACTCTCTTCATTAGTGTGAGGCCTCTTGGGGAAGCCCAAAGCAAAAGCAAAACTATGAGAGTTTGTGCTGAAAGTGGACAATATCATACCATTGTGGAGAGTCGTGTTCGTTTAACATGGTATCAGAGCTATGCCCTAAACTTGGTCGTGCCAATAGATTGGTAAATCCTCTAATGTCGAACAAAAGACTCCAAAAGAAAATGAGTCGGGCCTTGATTGAGGAGAGGCATACTTTATTTGAGGGGAAGTGTTGGATGATGAAAGTCCCACATCCGCTAATTTAGGGAATGATCATGAATTTATAATCAAAGAATACTCTCTCCATTGGTGTGAGGCATCTTGGAGAAACCTAAAGTAAAATCACGAGAGCTTATCCACAAAGTGGACAATATCATACCATTGTGGAAAGTCGTGTTCGTCTAACATGTGAGACTTTTTTCAGTTAAGTTATGGAATCTTATTCAGAGAGGAGAAAGGCAACCGAGCAAGAGACCATTATTACTCTTTATTTTATTTTTTTTATTTTATAACGAGATCATAATTCCCGATTTAAGATTAAAAAGAAAAGCCTGGACTTTTTTCCTCCATAAATATTTATGAGTTCCTATTATATTATAATTTTAGAACCTTTTTTGAATAAAAATAAATAAATTGATATTTTAATTTCGAAAAATGTTTTTAAAAAATTATATGTAAATTTTCATCTATAATGAAACATATTGAAATTTTTTAAAAATGTATTCTAAATTCACTCACCATATTATAAAAATAATAATAATAAAATAATAAATTTTGAGGTGTTTGAAGAAATTGGTTGGCAGCTTGAGGTGCAGCTTACAACCCATTATGGAAGAAACCATTTAATTTAATTTAATTTAATGTTCCCATTTTTCTCTCATCTACACACAATTATTTTGCTTTCATTTATTCTCAATTTCACATTATTTGGTCATCGCCCTAAAAACCCATTTCATAATTATTACTTTATTCACTCTAATCTTTCCCAAATTTCGAGCCAGCGTTGATACGGGTATAACTAAATAGTGATCGACATATGTTTTTATTCGAGATCAGAAATTCAAACTGTTGCACTTACGTTTGTTGTACGAAAAAGAAACAAAATACACTTTTAGTCCTTGAGTCTTCGATTGAGTCTCGTTTTGATATGAAAATATTCGAAATTTATGATTTCAGTCGAAGTTTGAAAAAATATGTTTTTTTAGTCTTTGTCGTCAATTTTCTATTACTAATTCTATCAACGTAAGCCCAATAAAAAAAAAAAGATGAAAATGTTCAAGATCAAAAAACTGACACAAAAAACCCACATGCCAAAACCGACAAAAAAAAAAAAAAAACCCACATGTCACAAAAATACCGCTAACGATGATAAGAAAAGCACACAACTCGAGCAAGGCAAGAACATAAATCAAATAGAACACTCCCAAGCTAAGGTAGCAATGACAAAAGGTTAGAAAGCTCAACAATGTGAACCGTGACATAGATAGTTCAAGCTAGATGTCACATACAATGATAAGGACAGTGTCGATTACTAACACGGTTGTTCCAATCTAACTTGTAGTCTTTGGCAAATCCTTAAGAAATGAGTTTGTCTAACTAATCATAACACACCATATAAGTACTATTGCAACAACACTAACTGCAACTGTACGAGTAAGACCTTAAAATAGCGAAACTAAATACAAAAATCCAATTCTGTTGGCTTACCGTGAATATTAACACATGGGTTAGGACTGCAACGTTTGTCTCTATTTTTATAAATAGCGGGTCGTGGTTTTTCTTCGATTTTAGAGTTTCCACGTTTAATGTCTATTCTTCTATTTATTATTGTCGTAATAGTATAAATTTATTTCTCTTTCAATACCTACTTGAATGTAATATTACTTCAAGTACTGGCCACCGAAAAACACACTCAATATAGTCAAAGCTCGACCACCAAACCCTATCTACCTATACAAATAGGCATTAAGTGAATATCATCGTAAATCTTACCAAGATCAATTAAACAATCAGAATAACGTCACCTCCAAGAACCAACTATAAAAAGTTCATCGAACTATCTATATCATAAACTGTCGACTATATCTTTGAAGGACGGGAGGGGACCTTAGGAGGCCAAGAATAGAGCAAAACAAAGCAACCACCATTACAAGTTGATATCACTAACTTAGAGAAACTTTGTCATAGATACTCAAAATAGGCATCTACCTCCATGATAATATGCCCATTACCATCACCCTATATCTTTATATCTTATGCCCACTATCCCCTACAATTTTTATTAATTTATTAAAAATACCGAGACTAAAATAAAATGAAATCTAAATTAAGGGACCAAAATGATATTAGTATAATCAAAACACGCTCGTAAAATATATATAAATTTGATATTATATGCAAATAATCTTCTAAATTATATATTTGTATTTACTTCCTAACAAGTTTTATGAAAATAAAAAATATACGGGATCAAACCGTCTTCTTTAGTTGAAAATTTAAGTACTAATACATGATATCGTGCATGCAAGTATACACTAATACAAGCAACAACACTAGACCCGAACCAGTTCTTTGTTGCATTAGATTTTTTGAAATAAAATTTAAGAAGAAGGTATGCGTTCACTGTATTAACTAAAGGGAAGTTAAGGCCCGAGTCTAGTATCTTCAGTCTTGTTTCTCCCATAATTTAGCTCCACGTGAATGTTGATTTATTTTTGAACTAAGCGTAGATGTCCTACATACCCTAAGTCTCTCGAGAAATATGTAAAGTATAATAGACTCACATCGAGCTTTTGAGAGGTCGTTTTGGTTCTAAATCATCTTACAAATGTGTCATCTTTATAGTAAGAGGAAAATAGAGCAAAAGAGATTCCCGTAATAGTAGCTAGAGAAATGGGAACAACTTATGATGAGCAAAAAAAAAAGGAATTCTCTAAATATTGAAAATAAACCGAAAACACGTTTAAGGTAAACAAAGTATGAATGGCTTACTAATTAAGAAAGATACACGATAAGATTTAAAATAAGCCACGCCTAAAAAAAAAATAATTTAGTCACTCATATTGTGAAATGAAAACGACTACGTAACCGAAGAAATGAAACTTAAATAGATCGACATAAAATGGAATGACTCTGCATTTCTGCTCATCATCTAACTGAAATCCACAATCATCTGTTTCATCCGCTCCGTTTTCACGTCGTGTTATCCAGCTACGACGATGTCCTTTTATCGTATTCCACTTCTTGTTTTTCGGAGTCCCAACTTTTTGGATTTATAATGCATTCACTACCATGCGATTGAATTAGACAATTAGTTAAGAGTGCTCGTGGATTAGATTGAGTCGGGTTGAGACATGTTTTCTAGACCCAACTCAATTATTTAGGTCGTAAATTTTTTTCAATTCAAATAATTTTTATTAAATAATGATCCAAATCCTAGAATAAATGGTTTGTGTTGAATTGGTTTGAGTTATTTATTTAAATTTTTATTTATAATAAAAAATAAAATATTAGCTTATAAAATATCTATTTATTTATTTTCAAACAATAATTTAAATATATATTTTAAAAAACTACCTTCCAAATAAATCAAATTTATTCTTAATAAGAAAAAAATATATTTTTTAAAGACGGTTCGATTCAACCGTTTTAAAATATCCATGAACCAACCTAACTCATAAAATTTTTATTTATTTGAACCCAACCCAACCCAACCCAATACAGACTGAGTTGGGTTGATCAAATTTTTTGAGTTATTGGGTTTTTTGAACACTCTACATATAGTGATGGGTCCGGTCTCTACTATTCTTTGGGGCTTCAAATCCAAAATTTATAAAATTTATATTTAATTTGTTAAAAAATTAATACTAATTATTATGTTGAAATAAATATGTGCATTAGATAAAATATACAAATAAGATTAGAGTATATTAAATAAATTATTAACATAATAAAATAAATTTATATTAATTTTCATTTTATTTAAAAGATATATTAGCATATTATTTTAAAAAAAAACATTTTAATTAAGAGGAGAAAATTAAAATAATTAGAAATCAATAATCTATTTAAAGAAAACAAAAATCCAATCATTTATGACTTACACTATTATATTGGTATCCTTAAAAAGTCTAATTTCCATTAATTTCAATTTCTTATAGAAATTATCTTTCCCTTTCTTCACCAAAAAGGGGAAGAAACTACAATTACTTGGCTGTCACGTTTTAGTCTGTCAATTACAAAACGGGGATAACACGTGTCAATCTCTCATTGATCCAAAACACGCGGAATAAACCTCTGGTGAAAAAATGTGAGCCAAGCAATCTGGGCCCCCCACCGGCGCATGATAGTCCGATGCTCCACATGCCAATCACGTGCCGTTATTTCCAACCCCCTCCACACGTGTTTGTTCCTCCCACGTGCAACAACCCTTTAAAAAAAGAATTATTTAAATATTTATTATACAATTCAGAAGCGATAAAAATGTGGTGTCTTTTCAAATATATTACCAAAAAAAAAAAAAAAAAAAAAAACCTAAATATTTGCCGTTTATTTAAAAATTTTGAAGATAAAAAAAATATATTTAA